CCTTCTACAGGTTCTACAATGGAAAACTTATACATGGAAAGCAAAAAATGGCAGAATAATACACAAGGTTAGGTATTGGAGTGCCAATATTACAGCACCTGTAATAAACCTCAAGTAATTGCACCTTATTTTCGAAATATCAGTTTTAAATGAATGCCAAGGTTATAAATCTCTTCACATTTTTCCAACGCAAATGGATTTGAGGGTGACATGAGATCCTGCTTTGCTTCATTCCGACGTTTAGGCATCCGGCACAGAAGTCAACATCAGGGGAATCTTCGCAACAGAGGGATACTGTATACAATTTAATTGTAAAGTGCAGAAACATTACGAAACATCTGTCGTATAAGAGGCGAACAAACAGACGTACAACAGAACTTGAAGAAACTTTGCAGGGGAATGAAATGGGTTTTTAAGCCAGAGTAGTCAAGTAAGTCGTGAAAATTAAAATGAGCGGGTGGTTTTCCTTTTTGGTCATATTATAAATTTTCAAGCGCTGCAGCACATAAAATTTGCAGGTGCATTGGTTGGGTTCAGTGTGTCGAAACGAACCTTTAAACACAGTTGTGCATCGACTTTTCAACTGCGAGTGACGGTCGGCAAAGAGGGGAACGAGGCGATAATTGTGTGAGGTTTGAAACGGTACATACTGTTTAATGCCTCAGCTGAAGAACTAGTGTATCATTGCGCCAACAGTGAAACGGATGGTTAAGGCTCATTAGGTTAGCAATGGCGATCGCTATTAGCACTTGCACGCTAACGATGAGGGCGAGACTCGCTGCAGCTGTTGGCACTTCTCGAGGATTTCAGAAGTCAGATGGTCGTCGTCAATCCGATATCGGACGGTCGTTTCCATGGCATCACACGTTAAGCAACTCGGCTTGCCGCCAAGCTACCTGCAAGAAAGCCTGGATGCATCTGAAAAATGAACGCCGGCTCTGAATCGCTCTACACTTGCTTATCGTAATAGTCATAGTCTCTTGATTTAGGCCCTTCATTATCAGTATGTAAGGTTGAATGACCACTGAAGAATGGTAAACCGCTGGTTACTGATTGCATTGCTAGAGAAGTTCATCTCACAAGGGAACGTACTGCCCTGCGGGTTCTGGCTCACTCGGAAATGAGCTGAGACTAAAGGTGGCGAGTTCGCTGGAGGTCA